TCCTTGGCATAAAACTGTGGGATAGCCATCTTTGTTGGTCTTTTGGAAAATATTTCAGCAATTGAGACCCACAAAAATATTCGTACTATTTGATTCGGTAACATACTTCTGGAAATACTTCCTAAGGAACGAGCACCAAAGAAAGTGAAAGCCATGTGTACAAAGATGAAGAAACATCTTTATGTACAGAGTTACTTAAACAGAAACTTTTATTCAATGAAAATAGTCAACAGTTAACTAAATTATTGTTCAGCTACCTGATAGAGTAGCATATGGTTATCTGGTACTAGCTGTGTGATCTCAGGCAAATTATTTAACCTCTCTTATCTATTAAGTGGTGGTACCAATATTTATTATTGCACGCTTGTTGCCAAGATTAAGCCAGATAAATTTCAAAAGCCCCCATAATGGTACTTGACACATGATAGGTGTTGAATACATTGCAGTGAAATATATGAGGAATATGTTGCACTTTTGGAAATGAATGTGATATAAACAAAAAGGTGCCCACAAAAGCAGACAGATACCCGTCTGTCATGGGGAACCCCTGGATCTGGAACTGCGTATCTTTTTGTCTCAGTGTGGACTTGGTGGCTCTTCAGTTTCAAGACCTGGAGACTCAGTCCTGTCAATGCTCAGGGGTGTCAGGCCCTGAGGACCTGTCCTTACTCTAAATTAACAAAAGCCTGAAGTGGGCACTAGAGTGCCAAAGTACTGATTTACTAAAAGAAATATAAATATCATGTGGAACAGAGATATCTGTCCCAGCATGTGATGCCTTCTCTTCCTAGAGGTGAAGAGCTCAGGGAGCTACAGCAGAATCAGGAGCTGTGATATGGACAAAATCACAGGGAGCCTTAAACCCTAATGAGAGAAACAACCCAAATGTCCATCAACAGAGGAATGAACAAGCAGAATGTGGTCTATACATGCAGTGGAATACTGTTCAGCCTTAAGAAGGAGTAGAATTCTGATTCATGCTACAGCATGGATGAACCTTGAAAACATGCTAAGTGAAATAAAGCAGACCCAAAATGATAAACCTCATAGTATTCCATTTACAAGAGGTACTTAGAATAGGCAAATTCATAGAAATACAAAGTAGAATAGAGGGTACCAAGGGCTGGGGGGGAGAGGGAACAGGGCGTTATTGTTGAACAGGTCCAGAGTGTCAGTTTGGGAGGATGGGAAAGTTCTGGAGCTGGATGGTGGGGATGGTTGCACAACAATGTGAATGTGCTTAACGTCACTGAGCTGGACACTGAAAAGGGCTAAGATGGTGCATTTTGATTAAATATATCACTGAAAACAAATGAATAAAACCCCCAAATCTAACAAGACAGGAAATATAGCATGGGGGTTCAGAACATGGGGCTCTGATGCTCAGCTGTCTGGGCTCACATCTGCTTCTGCCTCTTTGCCAGCCATGTGTCAGGGGGCAAATTACTGATACTCTCTCTTACGCACCTGCAAAATGGGTAATACTTCTTCCTAGAGCAGTCCTGAAGATTACATTGAGTAGACCTAGGTAAATTTCCTAGCCTTAGAATAAAACTGGGCACATAGTGAATCCTACGCAATAGCTAGCAAAAAAAAAAAAAAAAAAAGTATCTTTCTTGGTTCCTTTTGAGAGATTGTTACTATGAAGATCAGAAATACTGGGGTTGTAGCATTATCTTTGTGTGGCAGACCTACAAGGAGTCAGTCAATCATAAGGTTAGTTTGTAAACACGGAACCAGAAGCAAAGAGTCAGAGAAATTATGTATCCATTAGTATCCAGCTAAGATATTCTGATTTCACCACAGACATTGTTTTGCAGGCAGAACTGGAAACACTCAAAATCCATTGACTAAAACTCTGTGTCTCCTACAGGGCGGCTGGTCAGAGCAGCTGGGGCTTTCTTATACCACTGTCCTTTGTCTGCCCTTCCCAGGCTGACCAGTTCCTCCCCAAAACAGGCAGACACCCTGTGTCCTTTGGGTGACCTGCCTCCCTCCGGCCTTCATGTAACATGTATTGTCTTTATGCTTTAGTTCCCTGACAGAATTCCATCGCTTTGGAAGGAAACATGGAAAAATGACAGCAGCCTGGTTGCAGAACTGTGGGTGAAATATTTGAGTTCTGTAACTGGAGCTCTCATGGCTGTAAAAATCTTAAACACAGATTTTAAATAAGTCCTCGTTGCCCAGTATTTTCCCATTTGTAAGCGGTTTTCAGTTGCTCAGAGCACTGCGTGCAGCATGAATAATGAATGTGAAAGGGATGCTGGTTCATGCCACTGGGTCCCATATTCATTCCAGCCCATTACCCATCTCTGGGTTGTCCTCAAACACTAAGCGAGCATAATGAGGGGCTTGATGTGGGGTCTGAATGTATGATGAGCCCCATTCGTTGGCTTTTACACTCCAGTAAACAGCCGCTGAACTTCGCCCTCTGAGTGGTGTATTCTTAGTCTTCTATGGCTTGAAGTGACTTAAAAGCCAGCACTGCGGTGTACATGGGCCGTGTGTCTGCATGTCCACGCCCCCTGGACCCGGAGCTGCTGCCACTGCTCCTCGGGTGGGATTCCCGAATGTGGCTCCATCTGAACCAATGGTGCTGTCGAATCTTACCTCACCCTGAACAGGGGCTGGGAAGGGCTGTGTTGGAGTCTCAGATGATCTCTATGCCTTGGGCTTGGCTGCTCCGGAGAGGAAGGCATCAGCCGAGGCTGGGCTCCCTTAAAGCATGGAGTAGCAGACGGTGTCCGTCTGTGATTTACATCCGTCCAATCTGTCCGAGGCAGGGTGCATGGGCCAACTGCTCTGTGTCTGTGTGTCTGGGGGGGCTTTTTTTTTTTTTTCTTTCCCAGAACAACAGCAGGCTGGAAGTGCCGGGAAATGAACCCTCCTGGGAGCAACTGTCAAGCAAGGATTCTTGGTAACTGGGGCATAAATATCCCAGCTCCCTCCCTCCTTTGGTGGGATACTTATGAGGCATGTGTTTTCTATGGTTTCCTGGATTTTTTTTCCTGTGGAATGAAGCTCCAGTTGCCTGTGGAAGTTGCACTCCCTAGGGGCTGCCCCTGTCCTTGCTATGCCACTTTCCCACCCCCCCACTACTGGCCCCAGAACCTCACAAATACACCCACTCTACTTGCATCCCTGTCTCAAGGTCTGCTTTGGGAGAGCCTACAGTAAGATCCACGATGTCGAGAAAAGAGCACAAGATTTAAAAGTAGGAGTCCTGGGCTTTGTCCTGGCTCTGTCACATGTCACATGACTTTAGGTAACTGACTTCCATTTCTCTGAGTTATAGGTCCCTTAACTGTAAAAACTGGAGCACAATAACACCTACTTCATTCACTGGGCCATTTGTAAAGCCTAAGTGAGAACATATAAGAGGAGAAGCTGAATAGGATAAAGTTCCTTAAAGATGTTCATCATATTGTTTTATGTGGCCCCTCTCCTTCCCCTATTGTCTGCAAAGTGCCCCCCAAATATTTCTCTATGCTCTTCTTATCCATATCCATGCTAATAACCTGTGCACAAACCAAGATGATGAGAAACTCCAGCTTTTCAGTATTTTTGCAGCTAATTCTTTATGATTCTGTTTACCCTGCTTTCTTATTATGAAAATTTTCAAATGTAAGGAAAAGCTGAAAGAATAGACCAATAAACTCTGGACTTGGATTCAATAATTATAAACATTGTGCCATATTTGCATTATCTGTTGGTTTACCTGTCTGCCTGTCTATCTATATCTATAATCTATCTATCATCTATTTTTTCTATCTTGCTATACTTTTTGAAATTAATTTCTAGACTCCATGACACTTTATCTCTGCGTACTTCAATCTACACTTCCCAATGAGGCCAACCTTCCACAATACCCTTTGTACACGTAAGCAGGTTAACCTTAAATGTTTAATATCATCTAACATATTACCTATATTCAAATATTCCAATGGTCAATTGTATTAAGAATGCTTTTATAGCATCTTTTTTAAAAAGATTTTTTATTTTATTTATTTGACAGAGAGAAAGAGAGAGAGAGAGAGAGACTATATAAGCAGGGAGAGGGGCAGGCCGAGGGAGAGGGAGAAGCAGACTCCCCGCTGAGCAGAGAGACTGACAAGGGGCTCCATTGATCTCAGGACCCTGGATCATGACCTAAGCCAAAGGCAGACGCCTAACCAACTGAGCCACCCAGGTGCCCCTAGCATCTTTTTTTAAAAAACCAGGATCCACTCGAGGTTCATTGCAGAGTGTCTGTGCTTAGAAAAAACCATGTTGGGTCTGATTGTGTGTGTGAGAGAGAGAGCGTGTGTGTGTGTGTGTGCGTGTGCAGGCATGCTCGCATGTACATAGCTGAAGTGTATGTGTGGTTGTCCCTGAGTATCCTTTTTCAGTGAAGCCAGATCAGTGTTGTAGCTCTTTGGGCCTTGGGTGACAATGGGACAAACCTGAGTCTTGTCTGGACATTTGATCTTGCCCGGCCGGGTGGCCTCTGCCAGGTAGTGCTGGCCAAGCTTGCCTGGCCACCACGTCAGGGCTGCAGCCGCCCTTGGTGGTCACCTGCCAGCCATTCACAGAGAACCACTGCGAGCGACATCAGCTGTCAGTTGAGGAAGAAGGCATCCTGCCCAGTGATTTAGTGAGAGATAAATTTTCTCCTTTTGGGGGAAAAAAAATCAAACTATTTGGCAGGTAGAATGCCTATTGAGACGCGTCAGTATACGTTGTTATTCCAAATTGCCAATGTTCTCCTGTCCTTTCCTGTCTTCAAGGAGATATTGAGATAATGGAGACAAATGATGATGGAATTTTGAGAGCAAGCAAGAGTATGGACCAGAGTAACAGTAAAAAGTTATAAAGTCCTTGATAAATATTTATTAAGTGAAAAATGAATGCATAATAGAAGCAAGCTTTTGTGGAAGGCCTCCTAAGTGCTATCCCCTTGTTTATGCTTCACAGCAACATGCTGAGATAAGGGTTATCATTTCCCTTTTACAAATTAGGAACCTGGGATTGCCAACTGGCTCGGGACCATGTAGCCACGAAGTCGCAGAGCCATGTTTTGAACCCGTGGATCTCTCAGATTGCAACCTCTGTGCTCTTTAAGCAGAGCTCCCAGTGGTAAGTGCTGTGCTCAGTCTGTACCATAAGCATCTCCAGCCACAGATGCCATTGTTGCCTCTTGTCAGCACCCGGCACGGTCCACAGCACCATGTAGGTGTTCGGGTAGTGTTTGTTGAATGAATGTCTAACCCAAGATATGCATACAAAAGGTGAAGATCAGCTAGATTCTTAGGGCCCCCATTAATTTCAGTGACTCCGAAGTCTCCACCCAGTTCCTTTTTCTTTGCCCTCTGTGTCACTGTCTCTGTGTACCCTCCTATATCCCCCAATTCTTCCCCAAATATCCTCCCCAGCCCAAAGCAACATCTTCCTTGCTGCTATTTTCTGCTGAAATGTAAAGCGTGCCAAATGCACTAGGTACTCGTATCCCTAGGTCTCCCATACCTTTTCCTCCAACAAGCCCTTGTAATGAAATGCCTCCCTGCAAAAATTAGAGAGAGGTGTTCTCTGCAGGGTCCAGAAGCTGTGTTCTTGGTTATCTATTTGCCCAGTAGGACCCCTTAGAGACTTACCCGGGAAGAATAAAATGGAAGATGCTGTTATCTCGGATCTGGAAAAGCCACCATAAGAAACAAATCTCTCCCAAGGAATGAATCAGAACCCAGACTCTGCTTCATACGTTAGATCCTGTGAATTCTGCTTTCCCAATGAGTGAAAGATGAATTTCCAATTCATGGAAATAAAATCGGAGAAATCTAACAGCTGCCAATCTGCTCTTATTCCCCCTGGGAGGAGGAGAGGGAGTGTCAGCCTAAGTTTGGTGACCCAGAGGTGGTTTGGAACCCTCTCCCACTTCCCACACTCATCTTCTTCCACCTTAACTCAGACTGAGACACGAGGGACAAAAGGTGCCTGGTGGGGAGGCAGGCAGATGGGGACATGCCTACAGATGCATGTGGGAGGTGACACTAGGCTTCAAGGTTGGGCTTAGCACTTGCCTGGGAAATGAGGAGGAAACCACAGGTATGGAGAGAGGACTACTCTGTAAGCAGAAGCATGAGATGCATGGCCCCTGCCTTTGTGAGCTTACAGGCTATTAGAGACTTTTGGAGGAGACAGAGATCACCAGGCAACTGCAACACCATGGGTTGCAGGGATGCTAAGATGTGGAAGTCAAGGGGGCCATAGAAGGGCATCAGGGAAGCCTTCCCAGAGGAAGCAGCATCTAATCCGGCAGTTGAAAGATGAATAAGCATTAACTGGACCAAGCTAGAGGAGTGGAGCAAAGTGAAAAAATAACGTGATGGAGAAGGGCTGGAATATAAACCGCGAGGCGGTAAGGAACACATGATGAAGCTAGAGAGGAGAGAAGGGGCCCAAACAGTGGCCTGTGGGCTGGAGGCTGGAGGCTTGGAGGACTGTTGGAGGCTGACAAGTGTGCTGTCTGTCCTCAGATTGGAGGACGACAGAGATAAGGAAGGAAATGCGGGGCAGTGGAGTTCCGCATGTGTGCAGGCGCTGTTTAGCTCTCCTCTGCACTGCCTTCCACCCGGCTGATGGTCTCCATCTAGAGCCCCACCCCGACTCTAGCCACCTGCTCAAATCAGATTTAGTGGATTCTTCTTCCATGTGTTTCTGTAGCGTTCTGTGGATAAAGCCATTATGTCCTACTTCACTGTCTCTACACTTATGCACAATTCACTCATTTATTCGTTCAGCAAATGCTTATTGAGCAGCTTCTATACACCAGCCACTGTGCTAGGGGCTGGGATAGAGTGATGAACCTGACAAAGTCCCTGCTGTCAAGGAGCTCAAATTCTTTTCTGTGTGAGTGTGTGTGTGTGTGTGTGTGTGTGTACCCAATATATAAATAAACATACGATTTAATGTCAGAGGAAAGAGAAAATAAAGGTTGAGACAAAGCAGGCTGCTGTTTGAGCTAGGTTGGTCATGAAAGACATTTTTGGTCAAGTGACCTTTGAGCAGAGATTTGAATGAAGTGCAGGAGTAAGCCAGCCTGACATCTGGGGGAGGAGTGTTGTAGGCAGAGGATGTGGTATGCAAATGCCCTGTGGCATTTATGAGGGATATATGAGGAGTAGCAGGAAGTGAAGCAGGCTGACGAGGACTGAATGAAAAGGAACGTGTCAGGGTCAAGGTCAGAGAAGGAGCAGAGAGAAGGGCATAGGATATTGCTTCTTCAGGAACAGAATGAGGGTTTTGGAATTATTCTGCATGGGCAGAGAAGTGTTTGATGCATTTTGTGCAGAGGAGTGACATAATCTGCTTTGTTCTTTAAAAGCCTCGGGCTGGTTTCTGGGGTGAGAATAGACTGTAGGGATGGGGGTTGAGGCAACACTGTGGATGAACTTGATGGCAGGGACCAGGGTAGTAGCCGTGGCGCGGTGAGGAAAGGATGAACTTGTGACATGTTTTCAAGGTAGAGCCGGTAGGATTTCCTGACAGATTGGATATGGGGAGAGAGAATCAGTCAGTCAAAGGAGACTGCAAGAAATTGCAAAACTGAATCTTAATGATCCACTCACATGCCACTCACTACCTCCTTCTAGATCAGTGGTCCTTAGCTGCCCCTCCCCACCCCCACTTCTCTTAAATTCTGGATACCTTTGAGAATCTGGTAAGGGCTATGGATTCTCCCCCTGAAAAATTTACCATGTGCATATACATAAACAATTTTGTCTATAATTTCAGACGGTCACGGACACTCTGAATCCACTCCCCACGCCAACTACCCCTGAATCCAGGGCTCCAAGCCCCTGTCCTAAGCTTTGGGCTCCTTGGAGCTGGCTGTGCCATATTCACCTTCCTTTCCTGAGCAGAGTAACCTGAAGACAGTCATAGCTTAGTAAATGTGCCAGAATAAACACATGAAAAACAGTTCCTTCTTTAACGATTTGTCCTGGTAATAAGGAAGCATGTCCCATTCACACCCCTTCTAGTAACTGGGACTATTATTGTACTAGAATAATAACCAAACCAAACCAACCAACAAACAAAAGAGCTGGGGCAAGGGGAGAAGGAAAGACGAGGCAAAGGAATTACAGCAGAAAAGCATTTTTAAAAAAATGTTCTTTTCAAAAAGCGTTGGTGGATATACACCAGGGAGGAAAACATGTGAGTAAAAATGTAATCATTCCACTGGTAACGTTGGGACATTTCCCACCTCAGCTGCAGGCAGAGGGAGGGGCTTGCTTCAGAATTTCTGCACAAGGAGAGAGAGATCCCGCTTGCAGCTGAGCTCCAGGCTGGGCACCGGGAGGGAGGAGCACTTTATCCTGAGCATCCTCAGCTCGGAGCCTGGTGGTGGTGGTGGGGGGGGGGGGGTTGCTGACAGTGAAAGGCCTGATGCGATCCTATATCAAAGGATTTAGAAACCATAAAAATAAAGTGAAATAAAAGCGGCTCTGAATGGTGCAAATTGGGTTTGTCATTCCTGAATCTGCCCATTTGAATATAACTGATGATTCCCGTTTAGCAGACATGTGTTGGGTCTGGCTCTATCCTGTACCATCTTTCCTTTAATTCTGATAATGGCCAGTTAAATTGGTATTAGTCCTCTTCCCCATTACAGGTGGAAGATGGGAAGCTTGGGGGCGGGGGTGTGAACACTACAAAGTGGAGGAGCAAGAAGCAAGACCCAGATGTTGCCAAGTCTAAGTTCCAGTTCTCCCATTCAAAAGGCGGCTTTCTGAAATGCCTGCATGCTCATCCAGGAGAAAAACAATTAGCCCTCTTTTGTCCTGTGAGTCAGAGGGAGGTTGGAAAGGGCTGTCTGCTCCCCCTTCCTCCCAGCTGACACATCTCACAGAAGAATGTCATGGAAGCCTCAGCCCTGGGGGAGAGCCAGGCTGGGGCGGGAGGCTCCCTGGGAGCTGGCTCTGGCTGCCTGGGTCCTGCTGGTGAGGTCTCTTTTCACCTTGTTCCATAGCTCCTGCTTGAGGAGCCAGCCTAGCTCACTGCTGCCGTCTGGGGACAAAGAATGCTCTCACTGTGCCCTTTCCTCAGATGAGGGGTCTGGCCCAGCAGAGACATAGCAATCTGAACAGAAGAAATCCAGATCCTGTTCATTTTACTACCTGTGCCCCAGGGCTCAAAGATTGGTTATAATTTTGGTCTTCATTTCCCAGACATTTTTGCTTTTCCTCTCAGCGTAAAAAGGCAGCATGGACTTTCTAAATGATGTGAGGCAAAGAGCAGGAGAAGGAGGAGGGGGTACTCTGAAGAGAAAACTACCTAAGTCTCTAATATGTCTCTTCTGAGCTTCTTAGAGCAAAGAGAGCAGAGCTCCCAGACAGGGAAAAAATCTTAAGAGGCTCTTGATAGGAAATGTGCTGGCACTTGTCATCTACCCAATGGCTCCTAATCCTCTTTTCATGAACTGAAATCCCCTTGAATTGGATTATAAAATTCCTCTTGGTAGAAGGCACTTCACTTAAAAAAGCAAAGCCCTTGATTGAGAAAGAAAACAAACATTAATTTGAAATTTTTTTGCCTTCGGGAAGAAGATGTGGGCAGACACGTTGAAGGAGCCTGGCTCCTGCCTTTTGACCTCTGCGTTCCCGGATATGTGGTGAGCACTGAGGTCTCGGGATGGAGGGCATCCCTCCCTCCGCCCTCTTCAACTCAGTCCCATTTCCACGGGAACTGCTACTTGGACTTGTAAAAAATTATTTTAAGCATACAGCAATGGGAAAAGAAAACCTGGTTTGGAAGCCAAAGGGCCCTTTCGAATGACCCATTAATTGAATCAAAGCTTCCCTCAATGCAGGGATAATGGCTTGTAACTGGCTGACGTCTCTGACCTGGAATCGGACTGACAGATGTGAGATGGCAAGTCCAGGGAGAAGAATGGAGGTAAGCCACCAGCTGCAAACGACTGGGGGCAGAGGGGCGTGCACTTGCTAGAGGCACATTTTCCCCGCTGGTTGCAGCTCAGATTACTCTCTTATGGACCCTCTGATCTTTTCCTGGACCTGCAGCCCGCCTCTGACCTTTCTGTCCTCACCAATGACGCGCGCCTGCACTCTTCCGTCTCTTGTCTCTTGCCCGTGTGTGGCAGGAGCGTGCCTCAGGATTTTGAACACGGCTCCAGGGTTAGAGGTGAGCCTGGGGCTCTGCTGTGGCTGGAGGTGGGACGTGGGGTCTGGGAAGAGCCGGGCCTCGGTTAGGGGCAGAAGGGGGCCCCTTACCGTCCATGTCAGCGCCAGGGTACCGCCCGTGGGGTGCATTAAGCATCTCAGCACTCCGCCCGGGGTGGGGTGGGGGGGCCCTACTGTTCCATCACTGTGAGCTTAATGTCGTGCCCGTTTTATAAAGGGCTACCAATTATGTCCCTGCTTTAGGCAGTGTGTTTAGGATCTGCATAACTGTGGCTGTCTCTCAGGAGCCTTTGGATCACAAAGGAACAGGAATGTGAATATCAAGGAGCCGATGGTCAAAGGGTCTCACTCACTCTATATTTCCTTTGAAGATCCGTGCCAACGACTACCCAGCCTTACCCACAGCTTCCTGCCCTCAGCTTGGACCCCAGCCCTGGCAGGGCTTCCTTGGTAAAGAGTGGAAATCACCAACTCATAGTGACCCAGCTTTATCTTGCCTTATCTGGCTAGGGATGAAAATGGTTCTTCCTGTTTCTCAAAAACTTAAAAGTCAAGCAAACAGGATTTCTAAACAAAGAGGCACTTCTAACAGAGGATTTGCTGTCATTACTGGGTCTCTCTTTCAAAGCCTATCCGCAGCCCTTCTCTGGAGAGAGCACATAGATCTGCTTGAGATGGCCAAGGAGCCACCTTGTCTGTGCCCTACAAGAAGGAAAACATTATATGGCAGAGCCAGGAGACTCTGGATCCTAGGCTGGGGAGATTCCCAAGAGTTGCCAACTCAACTGGGACAAAATGGATGAAGAATATAGGTTTAATTTCAATGTATTCATTTATTTTTAAATTTCTTGCATTCTTTTATGAATAATTTGTGCTCATAATGCAAACTTTGAAAGATCCTAAAAAGTAGACAGTGAAAATTAGCTCTTTCTCCCCTTTCCCTGGCCCCAGTTAGTCTCTGTGGAGGCAACAGTGTGTGGGAGAGATTGGAAATAGGAACCAGGAGTCAGGCACTCAGTTCAGAGGCCAGTGGAAGCACCTGGAAGGGTGTGAGGAGGGAGGGCTGGCTTTTAGGGAGGAACAGAAGCAGCTGGTGTGACGTCACTGTGGAGAAAGAATGGGCAGGACTTGGGTGTTGATTGGAACTGAGGAGCAGGAGTGGGGTGCAAAGTGTCAGAAATGGGGATCCCCTGAATAGCGAGTCAGCTGTGGAAAGCAGATGAGAAGACTGGCTGAAAGTACAGTGGAGGGAAGTTGGGGTTCTGGAAAGTGCAGAGGAGGAAAGGGAAGAGCACACCAATGTGGAGTTTTGCTGGGTTTTGAAGGTCAAGTAGGGTTTATCCATGGGTGGACAGGAGAGGGAGGGCATTCTAGAAATGGGAACTGCAGGGTCAAAGGTCAGAAGGTCCGATTGAGGGACAATAAGGGGGATGTTCAACTGTGGGGTGGGTTGCCATATCAGAGTATGCAAAAATAATAGAGTTGGGCCCGATTACAGACAACTTGGAAAATGGTCCCAAGGTACTTGGACTTGAAATGAGACTGCTGAGTAAATTTGAGAAGATGAGGCAAGTAAAGGAAGGGGCTTCTAGAGAGGTTTTACACATATCCTATTCCTTTCTTGTTTGGGCACCTCTTGGTGAAGTTTTTTCATCCTTCTCTCTAAAAGTTAAACCTTAGTCCTGTGCTGTGTATGAACTTCTGCTTTTTTACCAATCCCACCATGTTGTCCTTCATTTGTATGCCTGGCTTTCCTGCTAGAGTATTTCTTATTTCTCATTTTTGTATTTCTGGAATCTCCAATAACAGCAACAATAATATTAATTAATATATTATTATATTATTGAGTACACTCTCTTTTGTATCTTACAAATGTTATCTCAAGAAGTCTTTTCAAAGCCCTATGAAGTAGATATCTACTAGTAGCCCCGTTTTAGAGATGAGGAGACTAAGGCACAGGGATGTTACTTGCCCAGGATCACGTTGCTGGTAGCTAGGGGCCAAGATTTGAGTCTGAGTGGTTGAACCACACAACCTACACTCTGTATTATTTTCATAGCAATGATAACATATAGGAGACATTTGCGAAGAACCAGACATGGAGCAAAGTATTTTACATGTAATAGGTCATATGATCCCTCAACATTGAGGTAGGTCTCATTACTGTTCCCTTTTGGCTGATGACAAAACTGGGTTTTTGTTTTTGTTTATTTTTATTTTTTTAAATTTTGTATTTAAATTCAATTTAATTAACATACAGTGTACTATTAGTTTCAGAGGTAGAGTTTAGTGATTCATCAGTTGTATATAACACCCAGTGCTCATTACAAGTGCCCTCCTTAACGCCCATCACCCAGTTATTGCTTTTGTTTTTTTAAGATTATTTTTATTTTTATTTTTAAGTAATCTCTGCATCCGATGTGAAGCTTGAACTCACAACCCCGAGATCAAGGGTCGCATGCTCTTCTGACTGAACCAGCCGGGTTTCCCGGGGAACTGGATTTTAAGCCATGTCTAAGTCACGGAAGAAGCAAGCAAAGGGGCTGGACCCATGTCCCCAGACTCTCAGATACGGTTCCATACTCCCTTCCAATGCATGGTGCGTGCTCATCAGATATTTATGGAATAAATAAATGGCTGAAGTAGAAGAAGGAGGGAAGAAGGGAGGGAGGAATGGAAGAAGAAATGAAGGGAGGAAAAAGGAAAGAAAGGTATGAGGGAAATAGAGGAAAATAAACCCAACAAGATGTAGCAATCAGCAATCTCGTGAGCTTGGCTGGTGCTGGTAATGCAAAGATTACATTATGTAAAGAGGACTCTGAGAGTAAAACCTCTAAATCAAAGGAAGCTTCATGAATGTGAAACTCCAAACAGGACAAACTGATGGGGAAATCCTTGAGAGAGAAAGGGCGTCCTGGAGCCCAGGTTTATAAGCCAGTGATTGCTTTCCTCCCCGAAGTCCTGACAGACTTCCTTGGAATAGCAAACTGTGATGAGTGTGGGTTCCTCAAAATCACCCACACCCAAGAGGCACCTCTTTTGAAATATTTCCTGGTGTTTGGTGGTTTGTAAGGGACACCAAAAATCTCCTCTATTATTCCATGACCCAAATGGACCAACAAGATGAATGAGACCTCAAATAGATTTCTTTTTTGCAGAAGGATGGTATTTGGTTTCATAGACATTGCACGCACGTGTGTGTGTGTGTGTGTGTGTGTGTGTGTGTTCTGGGTTTCTCTATTGCTGTGTGCCTCAGGAAGGGGACGTGTGGGTGACCTGGCTGCAACATCTGTCACCCCATCGATCGCCACAGTTGATTTGGCTGATCTGGCTGGCCAGGCGGGTGCCCCCTTCCTCTCTCACTGCTCCATGTGAGTCCCTCCAGAAGCCAGACACTCGGTCGAAGAGGACAGCCTTCCCCGATAGAGGAGGACTGTTCTTCGGTCAAGGGTAGACGAGTAGCTGCGCTCCCCAGCTAGAACTTCCAAACAAGCTCTCAAGGTTCATTTGTAGGAGAACGTAAGATAGTCAAGCTTCCAAGACTGCAGACACATCCAAATGAGACGCTGCGTGTGGCAGTCTGCCTTTCTTAAGGAAAAAAAAAAAAGGAAGGGACAGAATTTCTGCAGGGTAGGCAGACTGGCTGGAGGTACTGTTCTTAGGTTAATCAAGCCATGCCTGGTGGATTTTTCTACCACAGACTAGCTTCCTCAGTTTAGCATATTGATGGGAACCATATTTTCCAAACCCTACACAGGGTCACAGCGTCGGAGAGAGCACTGAGTTTTGCTTTATGAACATAGTCATGTGAACTTCTCACCACAGCACAAAAATGACATCATCTGTCATTAGCCATTTTATGAATTGTCTTTATGGAAGGTAAAATGGCAGGATGTCAGGACCACCCGGGGATACAGGGACAAGTGGTCCTTGCCCCCTGCCCCCAGAGCCAATGGTCTTTAAGGAGAGCAAGGTGCAGCCGCAGGGATGGGGCCTCTCCTGCCCCACAGACACGGCGGGCCTCGGTGACACGGCATGGCTCACGATTCCTGTGGCAGTGAGCTCAGCCTGGGGCTGCCGGCCGGTCTGCTCGCTAGCTGCCAGCCTGTCGGTGGGGGCCGTGGGTCAGCCCTGGGCTGTCACTTGATCCAGAGGGGCCACCGGCAAGGGGAGCCCCCCAGGGCTGCCGCCTGCAGCTGGAGCACGGCAGGAAGCCTGCTCAGCCCAGGCCGCCCTTCCCTCGGTGCCTGGGGAAGCAGCTCCCGCTGACTGGAATTCAGAGCATTGTTGAGAAACCCCTTGTCACACCCACAGCCATCCCGCCCCTGCTCTGGAAGGGGCCTCGCTGCACACACAGGGTGTCTCTGAAGCACTCCAGAGATTTTACTGAATCAATCGCCTTTGTCCGCCACATAATTCCAGCAGAATTAGTCAGCTTTAATGGGTAGCATCTCATCCTACTTCCCTTTCTGCCTAGAAGTACACCCACTGGCTTCTTCCTCCAAGCCTCCTGTTTTTCTGCTCCTGGTTGGTGGCTACTGGGCTGTGCGGTTAACCCATGCAGGGCCACACTGGGTGAGGAGGTGGGGGCAGGGAGGGATATGATGAGGCTTACTAAGGTATGGTGGCAGAAGCCTCCTCATGTTCTATCCCACTGCCTCTTCCCCATGGTACTCCAAGGTAGGAATTATCCACTTTCTAGAAGAAGAAACTGAGGGTCAAGCAAGTTTTGTAATTTGCTCAAGGTCACAAAGCTGGTGAGGGGTAGAGCACAAATTCAAATTGGAGTCTGATTCTATTAACCAGCCAAGCAGGAGGCTTGTTTGGAGGAATCTCTATTCCTCATATTGTTTTTGTTTATTATTTCAAAAAAAAAAAAAAGAATTCCTCCCCAAGACCCTCACTTTAGGAAACCTCAGAGACTGCATGACCCTGTTCCCAGTCATGGGGTGATTTTTGGTAAGATGATGACACAGTGTTGCAAATT